GTTATTCTCTTCACAGAAATGCTGAATATTCTGTGTATAAATTCCTCTAAAAGGTAGGAGAAAGGTGTTGCTGCAAGTATCTTCCACTTATTTTGCTTATGAATAAAAAACCCCAGTTGTAATGGTGAGTCCTCAGAAAAGAGGTGATAATGGAAATGCTGGCATACTCACTTTCCCCAGCCCTGCAGGTGTTACAATGAAAGAAGCTTTAAGAACTTCAAGAACAGCACAAGGGCAAAACCTACAGATGTTTCCTTCACTTGTTTGTAAAGGGGGAGTTTTGCTACAGTGCTATTGTTTCAGTTGACCCTTTTCTCTCGGGGTTTTATTCTGCTGTAGTTCATCATCCTTGGTTCTCAGAATAGCAGAATTCCCTGGTAGGTCACACCAAAATGAGGAGGAGGGGTCTTTCCTTAAAACCTTTCTATTCTGTCCTCTTGACAGAAGAGGAGAGTTAGATTTTTCGGGGCAAAGACCTATATTTAAAGGTAATTGGCAATAGATCAATCCATTCTGAATGCAAGATTGAAATGGCATAATTTTAGTTATATTGCAAAGTGAGGAAGAGAAATTACCTGAAGTTTTGAAGTGATTGCTTGTTTGCTGCACCAATGGAAAGCTTAATCTCCTTGCAAGGAAGGGCTCTCTTCCTTGATGAAAAAGTTGAATGGCTGGTCTGGTGAGTGTTGTCTTTCATCAACTTAAAATACAATCCTTGTGTGTTGTTAAATGAGGATGACTTGGTAAACTGTGCAACACTGTGTAGCCAAAAAAAATCAGCTAGTTATTCATGTTTAAGGTATTTTATCATATTGCTGAATAATTAAATGATAGAAATAGTTTTTAACTGTGTTAGGGTGCAAAATTCTGCAGCTCTAGCATGCTGACCTGCTGAGAACTTTAGGAATACACAGCTGCACTGTCTCTGATGAATTATTTTAGATAATGAATTTGGTCACTTTTCTCGGTCAAATATTTGGTCACCTTTCTTCCCAATTTAAAAGGTTACCAAATTTTCAGTCAATCATTTAGAGCTGATATGTTTGAATTAAAGTGCAATAATTTAACAAATAAATCTTCATCAAATAGTACTAAGAATTTATATCCCATATTCAAGTCTCCAAAGAGAGATAATGAAAAATTTACTGTAAGTTTATAGAAGGTCTATAAATGAAACCCTAAGTTGTTTTTTTTTCTTTCTCTTTACCTCTTTCATTTGGGAAGATAGAGTGCAGATAATATATTAAAACCAGGGCATTTTATTGATTGTCATCACAATTCTATGTCTGTAAGTTTTTGATGAAGACTCTTGAAAGGGTTAACTCAGGGCAATTTTGATTCTGCACAGGATTTGGTAATAGAGCTGCAGGTCTCCTGTGGCAAAATGTAAAAAAGATGTACAGTTTCATTGTTCTTTGCCTTACAAGGAAATCCATTAGCTTAATGAAAATAAATTCAATGTTTTTTTTTATTTTTAGTGTGACTTCCTAAGGAAATAAGGCTTATGTCATTGTACAGCCCCTCTGCCTCTGTTTCCACTCGAGAATATTTGGACAATGCAATCAAATGTAATGTAGGAGATGAGTTTTTGAACATGCAAAGTTTCTTAAGATTAGTGAAAGTCAGTGACTAGGCAGGAAAAACTCCCAAAACTTTAAGATGACATTGTCCTCTCACTGAGGAGTCAAAGTACAAGTTCGGTATTTGTCCTATTTAGATGTGGGTTGGTCAGGCAGCAGGTGAACTTACATTCCAACAGGATCTGCTTACACTTGGAGGGTAAAAATTCTCTGGGGATTGTGGACAAACAGAACAAGAGATATTAGTGGGTGAGTGGAGGTGGATGTCAGTGGAGTCAGAAGTTAGATATGACTGCAATAAAAGGGGAAAAAGCTTAATGTTTTAAAAGTATTAAAAGTACATAGAACTCAAACCTCCAAAATTCCTCAGGGATCAAGATTTACCGTCTCTGCCTCTCAAGGAAGAATTTCTTCATATTGTCAAATTACATACAAGGAATCTTAACTCAACTGATACTGGTGCTATTTTTACTGTAATTTTAGTGAAATGTAGTATGTAACTCTTAGTATTAATGATGATTTAGAGAGCATGAGTTGAAAATTTAACTGTATACTGTGAATGACCGCCTATTACTTGGCAATTTGACAAGTCTACTTTCAACTGAACTACTTCACATATTTTTTCCAGCATGGACATATATCAGTCCAGGATTTTTGGTCACTTCTTAAATGAATTTGTAAAATTATCCAATCTGCCTTAAACTTTGCTTTGCAAGCACGTTTTTTGATAACTTTTACTTTAAATTTTGTCTTAGTAGCACTGCTACTGTTTTAATTTATATCATATCATTTAGCTTGCTGTTTCAGGGGATTTTTGATGAAGTTAATTGAATGCATTGGAAAATGCTGTGCAGTGTAAATTTTGATTTCTTTTCCATTCTAGATTGCCCTCATTGCTATAAACACTTCTACTTTCATTATACTTTGTCTCAAAGTTTTCTGTCAACACCTTCTCTGCTCTCACTTCATGAGAAAAAGCATTGGGAATGTCAAGCTTCTGAAGCCACCTGTGCTCATTTCTGGCTACCTAAACATAAAGATCTTGCCACATTTTGACTTTTACAAAATACAAACGGTGACATCTGTAGTCATTGTAATCCACACCTAAAACTTTCTAAAATGATCTATTGTGTCTGGCTAAATAATTGCCTGTGTAAACTCCTGCAGAGCTTGAGTTGCAGTAGCAGATGTGTGCTGCTTGTATTGGGCTTGTATCAAAAGTGGAAGTGAGTGACCAGAGCTGCCCTGGGATTTTTGCAGAGTGTCTCATAAACACCCTAATTATCTGATTCAGACTTTAACCATTGGATTAAGTATTCTTTAATTCATTATGAGCACAACTTTTGGCTTTTATGCATTTTTTGGGGGTTTTTTTTGAAGTTGGAGTTTGGTTCTTGTTTTTTTTTTAAGATTTAACTTATATCCATTTAATGTTGCTTTTGTGTTTGTGGTTTTTTTCCAGGTCATCTGAACAAGAATCACCAAAGTGAGTTTTCTTTATACTTTCTCCTACCTTTTTAAGATAAATAAGGAAATATATAACTTCAACTGATTTTTCAAAGTAGTGGTTTTATATGATTAAAAGGCACAAATAAATATATAAATGAATGAAGATTGTAAAGATTTGTAAAAAAAAGTAAGTTTTGAGGTCAGGATTTGGAAAGTCTTAAGTTGTAATAGATCTCTCATCACTCTTAACAGAAAAACTTGGTTAGAAACTGTTACAAAAGTTTAATGCTGCAAAAATCCACTGGCAATTTTATGTGGTGACTCTTTATATAGTGCCAGATGACACTGACTGAAATAATATTTTTCTGGTATTGTTAGATTTCTTTTCTACATAAAAAAATCATTACACGGTCTGTAATTTCAACTTGTAAGTGAAATGTTTTTTTTGGACTGTGTTCTGAAAAACGTATTATGTATTTACATGTACAGTGTTCCTCCTTGCTTAACATTGACTTCATCAGAATCATGAAAAGTCTTGGAAGCTATCAGATAAAACCAGAATTTTGACAGTGTAATTATAGTTCACTACTTCAAAGCATCCTGAAACTTTGAATTCATTCAAAAAGTGCCACTTTCTGTAGTAACTGAAAGTACTGCAAGTGTTGCAGGAAATACCTCATTGCCATTGCCAAGTACACATAGTCTAACTGAAAGTCAGAGGTATTATGGCAAGAATACATTTCCTTGATGGCACCTCTTAGGACATTTGTATTTGTTGTGATCAGACTTTCACAGGCCAAAAAAGTGGCTGCAGTATCAAAGTTTGCTGTAATACAAGTCCTGTATGCTAAAAGCTACACTCCTTGGAGTAGAATTACTTCTTCATTGACAGCTCTAAATATCTGCTGGAAATGGTTCAAAAAAGCTCACATATATCGACAAATACCAAAGCAGAAATAAATGTTTGAATTCACAAATTTTAATGCCAAGGTTAACTTGGCAAGATATGTACTTCTGCCACTTTAACATTGTCTAAATGTGATGTTGCTATACCTTGAGCTTTCCTCAAGACAGATATTTTCACATTGGGTAGTATTTATAAGGATGGAGCAGTTAGTCTGTATGGCATCCATGATTTTGGTCCAATTAAAAAGGGGTTTAGTTGTATGAGAGGTCTGTATGTCATCCTTTTCAAAAGAAGGAATATAACTAAATGAATGTTTGGGAAGTCCTGGAGTCCTGGAGCACCATCAGGCAACTTGGCCAATTGCCAGATTTGAGGGTTTTAGGTACTGACTTTTGTTATCATTGAATGCTAAAGTTCTCGAATGCCAGATCTGTACCCTAAGTTAGTTCTGGGTCCTTTAGTATGGCTATAACTACCTCAATAACACAATATTTTAATTGCAATTAAACCTTTAATTTTCACTTCATTTCCTGTTTCTCTGACAATTTACCCTGGCTTTTCTGCAAACTGCCTTCACCTGCTGGGATAAGGTTGAGATGGTACTCATAAGAGGAGGAATCTTAAAAAAAAAAAAGTACTTTGAAGTAATGAGAGTGGAATCAGAGCGAAAGATTTTTTCATGGATAGAATTGGCAACTGAAGGGCCTTTCCTTGTGGTTCAGCCCTCTCCATGTGTTACTGTGAATTCCTGTACAACTACAACAGTGCCTTTCACTGCTAACATCCAAATATTTTGCATTAAATGGTTTTGCTATTCCAGAATTTTTGAATATTTTTCTGGATGTTCACTGATTAATGATAGGCTTAGTTCACAATCCAATCCTGTTTCCCTGCACTTCCTAATGATAGGCTTAGTTCACAATCCAATCCTGTTTCCCTGCACTTCCACTAAGAGGTGGTATTAAATCTTTTAACCCTTAGAACTTGCTCTTTTTAAATCTTTTTTTAAATTTAAAAATCTGGATTAACAATATCTTTGTAATATTTATCCTTTCAAAATAAAGGAACGTATTGGGAAACAGTCCGACACGGAGCTCTCTGACCCATCTCTCACCTAAAGCCTTGGCTCACTCTCCCAATGGAGTTGGCAACATTTCTGGCTCTTACCCACTGGAAGGGGTGGATAAGCAGTTCCTAGAAACGTATGACAACGTTACAAAAAGCAGCTCAACAGAAGACTCCAGTCAGTACTACTGTGATAAGGTGTGTGCTCTTGGGTGCTTTTGAAGTCAGGGCTAGCAGTGAGTGTGACTCTGAGCTGTGGTTTGAGAATGGGCAAAGTGGTGGCTGTGTCCAGGATGGGTATATTTTATGCAGTAATGAGAGTAGATCTCATGTTGCTACTCACATTTATCCAAGGTCGTGTGATAGACAAGCTTACCAAGTGCTTTGGTTTCCAAAGTGTCCAGCATTCTAGAAGCTTCAGGGAAAGTTCCTAGTGGAATAGAAATCCTTACGTGATTGAATCTTGTTTCTTCCAAGGGAAAAAAAAGATCAGCTAAGTCAAGTTGCTATCTGTCTGAAAAGCAGACACAGCTCTGCTTTATCCCAGGCATCTCTGATAAGCAGACACAGCTGTGCTTTATCCCAGGCATCTCTTAAAGATGGCTAAACATCATCCTTTTGAGTTCTGACCTGGCTGGACAGCAGCTGCTCCCTGCTAACATTATGGTCCTAGATCATTCTTCCCCAGCCTGTTCCAGAGGGGTTCTGCCTAAAAGTGGGCATTTAATATTAATTAAAACAACTAACTAAAATTAGTTAGAATAGTTCTGTCATTTCCAACATGTCTGTTAGCTGCTGACACTTTTTGATTCTTCTGCCTTGTGGATCTGTTGCGTAAAAATAAACCTATTTAAAGAAGAAAAGTCCTAAAAATGGTCACTTCATTGTTCTTGGAATAGAGTCATTTCTATTCATATGTTGCACCTAAGCTTTTAATGACCACAGGTTGGAACTTTAATAGGATTTGTCAGTTGGGAAGGAAAGCTAGGATGAGAGTAATGATGTTAGGACAGAGCAACCAGAAAACGTTTGCTGAGATGTACATTGTTATTGTTACTATTGTAAGTGTATTCTACAACTATATCCTCTTCCTATTTCAAAGGTGGATATATGTATAGTATTTTTGTTCAGCACTTCTAAATTTAGTCACACTGTTTTCTACTTTGCTGATATTTTCTTCTAAAAATAAGAACATTTTCTTTCTTTTTCTATATATTGCAGAATGACCTAATTGAGGGAGATTTACTTTTGGTGCGTATCATACCAGATGAAGAAGGGAAGTTTGGATTTAATCTAAAGGTAAACCAGCTGTCTTTTCATTATTTTTAAATGCTTTATGGATAAGATGTTTTTACTTCATGATTTTAAAAATTTTTTTAGCATAATGATTTGGAGAAAGCAGACTATTTTACAGGAATGTCCTGTGGACTGAGAGTTTTTCGAAGTGGCAGCCTAATCTTTAAGTGCTAAAGTAACACTTACAGAAATAAGCATCTAATAGTTCTCTGGTTTTCAGTTGCATATATTATGGGCATGGCCCATATCCAAGGCACACTGCCTATTTGGCTGCTGAAATATGAACTTGAAGGCCTAATTTAAGGCATCGACTTTTGGAAAATTGGACCTCTGTATTATAAAACAATTTAAATAGTTTGTGCTGTTCCACTGTTTAATTGTACCCCTTAGAAATCATATTGAAATTTTGAAAATTAATTTGTGAAGAAAATTTAAATTATTATTGATAATTGACTATTGTAAATGTTTTAAATTCCCTCACTGAAATTCCATTTAAGCAGAGTATTATAAATTTGCCATAATATCAAAATAAGAGTTTGATCATTTCACCTTGGCTATTTATTGGTGATGTAAAGAGAATAAAGGAGTACGGTTGTCTGGGACTTTGATCCTACCAGATTCCTTGCACATTTGTCACAAAATCTAAGAAAACTGTCTGCCTTGGAAGTTTTAAATTGGGCTGGCTTCAAGGACAGTGTTACAAAAAATGTTCCATTTTATCTGTTTATGCTTTTTAAAATATATGGCCTGAAACAGACACCCAGTCTAGTTTACTGGAAATTGATACATTTAAAGACATCACAACCCACCCCATAATTCCTCATTTACTGATGAAAATTCAGTCCTAACAACCCTGTCCCTGTTTATGATGACACAGCATAAAAAAACTATATGAAAAGAAAATTAGCAATTACTTCTTTTAAATGCTGCTTATGCTTAATGATAGATTTATGGTTGCTATTTACTTGATATTCCTCTCATTCCTCTAGGGTGGAGTAGATCAGAAAATGCCACTGCTGGTATCAAGAATAACTCCAGGATCACCTGTAAGTAAATTCTTGAGGTTTCTAATCTCTTCCATTGCTACTCCTTCCACCTCTCAAAGGTCTGTACACATAGAAATTTGGACACCTGTAACCAGTATGAGATAGCAGCAGGACTGTTCTCATTAGGGATTGGTTTAACCATTGATTTCTTAATCACTGAGCTAAAAGAGCTTAAAAGATCTGGAAGAGTTTTTCAAACCAGATATAAGTAGAAAGTATATTTGTGTTCTCCTGTCATCTGAACAAGTGCATCCTGAACTGGAAAATGCTTGATGAGGGGCAAGAACTGGGGAAAAGGAACATCATTACTGAAGAAGTAAATAATTTGGGCCCCTGCACCCTAGAAAAAATAGCTGGTTTGAGGGAGATGTAGTAGGGATCTGCAAGATTAGGAGCACTATGAAAAAGGAATTCCAGCAGAAATATGGACTACTAAAATTAGGACTACAGAAATGTGGACTACTAAATTAAGTTTGTGAAGGTCAGGTTCTTGATGTTTGGTGAAGTAATTCTTTGTGTGGAAGATAGTAGATCTGTGAAACTCCTTGACAAAGGATGTGTGGTTAAAATAATTTTTTGTGTCGTCAGGACGGGACAAATACTTGGGTAAAAAAGCTATTGTTATTGACTAAGCTAGCCATAATAGGCTGAGGAAATCCTTAGTTCTAAAATTATTTATAGGATGGGAGAGTACTTGGCAGGAGAGAGGGAGCATTAAAAGGGAGCATATGTTTGCTCTGTTCCTATTTTGCCATAGAATTTTTCTTATGGAAATATTTATAGACTAGCTGAAATGTATAAGAATCAGCAGAGTCATTGAGTTCTTCTGTTGAATTGTGAAATAATAATAGGAACATAAAATCTTTTAAAACTTTTTTTCTAAATAATTATTACATAAATTTGTGAGGACAAATGTTATATCAAATTTTTTCACTTGCCGTTTTCCAAACTATATTTTCTAACTCTCATCAAATAATTTCAGTGCAGACTTATTAGGAAATATTACTGACTTAAACCTAAAAATACAGTGCACTCTGAATCTTCTGACTCTTCTGAAATTTTATAAGCAGTCACAGGACTGATATCTAAATGTCATGATGCTAATCCAGCTGAAAGAGATTGCTTGAGAAGTTATTTTTTGGTCACATTTATGATTTTGGCCTGATTTACACAGTGCATAGCACTCCTTTATGAAGCATAATAACTATTTGAAAAAATGTTTGGTAGGAATTTATAACTTACATCTAGGAATTGAAAATAAAACAGTTCCTAAGACATTTCATGGTCAACCTAGCAAATATTCTAAGGGTGATTTGAGATTCTGAAATTACATAGGGCAAACAGGCTCATTCTGCAATCAGAGAATGAAAGATGTTCCTCCAGAGGCAGTAATTTCCTTTGGCAGATTTGGCTGGTCTTCTGCAAAGTATTGATCTGTATTTTTTTCTCCTGGATTGAAGAAGGGCTGGTCTTCCAACTTTAAACACTTCATTGAAGTGTCTCCCTTTGGTGTCATAGCCATGGACAAGAGTGACTAATTATCTCTCTAGCCTAGTAAACCACCAAGTGAGCAAGTTACCAGGATCACAGAAAAAAAATGGAAACAGCTATCCAATATATAATACTCTCTAGCAGTGTTAGGGAAATCATGCCATGTTATAGCAAGAGGAAAATAATACACATATTTTTACAGAATAGCAGTATTAACATTGATTATATTGTTTTCCATAAACAAAACTTTACCTGTCCTTTACTGTTTAACAAAATTAAGCTGATAGTTCAAATTTAAGTCTGTTGAATGCATTTTGATAGTATTTTAGCTCAGTTATGCCTTACCTTCATTACTGCTATTTTAACTTCCTCTAGATTCACTCAATACCCTGTAAAATGTCTTCACAGATGCTATTTGGTAATATTATTTGCTAAGATTATTTCTCAGGTTTGTAGGTCACCTTTTTCTCACTTTCCTACAAAAAGATGTGGGGTTTTTTTGAGGAAGGGAAGCAAATCTACTCCCCAAAATAAGGCAGCATTTTTCTTTACACCTCCTAAAGTTCTTTTTAAAAAATCTTTTAATAAAGCAGCAATGTAGTATGCTGGGAAAACTGAAGGACAGACTGCCTAAGATTTTTATGAAAGCACATTTTAGTGAAGGAACAACCATTTCTTTCATATGTTTGGCTTGAGGGTTTTTTTAATTAAAGTTCTTTACAGAATTTTTTCACAAACAGTATTAATGCTCTCAGGTGCTAAAGAGGTCATTATGGTTTTATGTAATAGAGCTTTTAATGGAAAAAACCTCATGCATGCTCCTTGGAGCAATAGCAGGTGATTAGCATAAAAATGACACATTGAGTGTATCAATAGGACAGAGAGCCTTTGACATAATAAATTGTCTGGAAGAGCTCAGACTCTGAAAAATCTATAAATTATGCTTGCATAGGAGGAATTAATTCTCCTTTGAGATATATTTTATATAGTCAGATGATTCAAATAAGAAGGCTGATGCATTAACAAATCACATGATTAACAAAGTTTGTTTGAGCAAAGATATTAGTCCATCTGTAATAAAGACTAATAGCAGTCAGCCAAGAAATCTAAATTATAGGCAAATATAGGAGCTCAGAAACCATTCCTGCCAAGTTCTTGTTGATGTCTTGACTCTCTTAGTCATGGTTATGGTTATTGGTCTTTATGATTATAGTTATATGGTCTTTATATCACCTATCTTTTCAAGTATTTGTATTTCAAAGAGAAAAATTTAACAATATTTAAGAGTGATTAAATTAGTCATTCATAGTTACATTCTTTAGTCTTGCCTTTGTAAATTGGACAAAATATGGCAAGGGTGTTCTTGGGGACCTGTGGATACCTAGTTAAATCAATATTGAAGAACATCATGGCTACTCCTAATTCCCATTTTTTTCCTGTTTACATTTTTTATGAATCATTGTCAATCTTCCCTATCCTTCATTATTTTCTTTCCTTATTTCTATGAAAAATGTTGTGGGCAACTCTTCCTTCTTTAAAATTTTAATCAGCTTTTCTGCATGGGATTTTTTTCCTCTTGGATGCATCTTTCCTCTCTCTTGCTTCTTTCTCTTCTTCTTTATCTGTTTTTTGGCACTAAGACAGGTCTTAAGTTTTCTTTTCTTTAACTTTGTTTGCTGGTACAAATGACTCCCGATTTATTTTCTTCATATTCATGCCACTATTTTTTTTATTCTGTATTTTTCATCTTTGTGATATTTTTTGTGATATAATTTCTTCTTTCCATCTCCTATTTACTAGTTGGTAATATATTAGGAGCCATTGGTGCGGGGCATAATCAGGATTGGATTTAGTCTTAATTTCTTGTTCACAGGGGATTGGTAATGGTTGTTTGGTAGGGCTAATGATATTGGATGAATAAAGCTCAGGGAACCTGTGCTGGCTATGAAGGAAATACAGGGAACACCTATGAAAAAATAAAACCAGTAAAGGTCTATGTCTCATTCATACAATAAATGGAATGAAGTGTTTATATATCACTTGTGTAGCTGGAGACTTCATAGACAAAATAAAGATTAGGATAGTAATGATGAAAAAATTGCTACATTACTTGACACTCAAAGATTCTAGAATCCTGCATATTCACATTAGAGAAGCACAGGAAGTTGGAAGGGACCTGGAGGTCCTCTTCTCCAATCCCCTCTGCTCAAGAGTCACCTAGAGTTAGTTGCCCAGGACCATATCCAGGTGGCTTTTGAGGTCTCTGAGGTGGGAGACTCCACAATATCTCTGGGCAACCTGCTGGAGTGCTCAGTCACCACAGCAGCAGAACTGTTTCCTGATGCTTGAATGGAGCCTCCTGTGTTACAGTTTGAGTTCTTTGCCTCTGATCCTGTCACTAAGCCCCTCTGAGAGTTTGACTTCATCCTCTCTGTGTCTTCCATCTAAGTATTTATGTACATTGCAAGATCCCCTTGAGCCTTTTCTTTTCTAGGCTAAATACTCCCAGCTCTCTGAGTTGTCCTTCATGCAAGAGCTGCTCTAGTGCCTTAGACATCTTTGTAGCATCATCATCATCATATTCTGGCCATAGCTTTGATTGCTTTTTGCTGGACATAGGGCTAAGCATACAGAGAACTGTGGCAGAAAAAAAGCGAAACAAACCTTGGAGTCCAGCAGTTAATCTAAATCTAAAGAAGACTCTACAAAGTAAAAAAGATATGGAATGTGTGTGGATTTCTTTGAAATTTAAAAAGTGCATGCCTGGGGAATGTCATGTTACTTAAATCATGTTTGTGAAAATCATGTTTGGACTGCTTAGTATTCGCCGCATAAAAAGTGAACTGGATTATCTCATGTGCCTGAAACACTTTATCAAAAAATTCAGAGGTAGTTGACACTTGGAGTCTGAAATACAGATCTTTGAGAGCAATTTGTTTGATTAATGTGAATTCTTTTTAAAGCTATCAGTATGTTGTTTGAATTGTTTGTTCCTTGTTGTCAGGGAGAAGCTTTGAAGCATGAGAGCTTTAGAGCTGAAACCTTTGATAGAACCTCTGATACAGAGTATGAAACTTTGCCAGGAGAACTGTGAAGACTGCTTACACAATGTACTTAATATCCTGATATGTTCCTGCTTGCACAACTGGTTGTGATGACATTAATGTGTTTCTTTGGTCTTGAAACAGGCTGATAAATGCATTCCAAAGCTGAATGAAGGTGATCAGATAGTATTAATTAATGGCCGAGATATCTCAGAGCACACGCATGACCAGGTGGTCATGTTCATAAAAGCCAGCAGAGAATCCCACACAAGAGAGCTTGCACTTTTGGTCAGGAGGAAAGGTAACTGGGCTAATTTTATTCACTTCTAATGTTTTTGAGACTGTTGCTGTTATGCTTGGTGGTGTACCCTACTCTCTTCTGTTTGCATAAGCATGTTCTCAGAGCACTTGGAAGAGGTCTGTGCAAAGAGTAGGTCTCAGTAAATTTGAATTAGTAGTACAAGTAGTTTAAACTATATAGGTTCTTACCACTGCTACAAAGAGTCTTGCAAGTTAGAATTTCTTCTTATTTTTTGTTCTAAAAATCTATGAGAAAAGATAGTCCCTTGAATTTCTTTTTTTGGTGACGTGGGGTGTTGGATTTTTTTGTAAATAAAGCATAATTTTAAAAATCCCCAACTGCAGATCCACAAAAACTCATGGGCTGTTCACCTGCACAATTATGTGATGAAACTGCATTCTTACAGCAGACATTTTGGGACAATACTGAGATAAACCTGTGCTGGTTGCTTGCAGAACTGCTGCCTGCAAAGAGGAGACAATCTTTGAAATATGCAGGGTCTTAAGCTGTATGTTTAAAAATGGAAAACTCATCCAGCTTGGCATTGCTTGCTCCATATTTAAACACCTGTAGATCCCAAGAGCACTCAGATGATGTCAAACTCTTAATTTTGTTATTTGCTTTCCTTAAAAGGTATGGTAAGACATTAGCACACTCAATTACACAAAGTTCCTCATTGCATGAAGATATAAAAATCTGAAGGGATTAGGCCTTACTAGGAAATAGGAGGGCATGGAACAGCCAAAGTGATATGTACTTCTGTAACACTGGCTTTATTTAAAACTTCTTGTGTTTCTAAGAAGATAGAGGGGCTCTTTATTTTATTTTCCGCTGGCTTTATGCAGCATTTAGTTTTCCCTTAATTTTCTAGTCCCCTTCCAACCTGCAGATAAGAGAAATCTTAAAGATGACCCATGGCCCCATACCAGTAATTTTTTATAGGCATGAGCATAACCAGCTCCCCATTCTCTGAAGTTTGGCAGGTATGAAGTCCTCCCATCACTGCAGGATAACCACAGCTGGACATGTCTGGTGATACAATACATTTCATAGGGACAGAAATGCTATGTAGATTGCTTCATTAATGTTTTTCATGTTCTTCAATAGCAAGGAATGTTGTAGAAAATTGACTAATAATTTTTTTTAACTTCAGTTAGTTCCTTCAGTGTTTGCATAAGAAATTGTAAAAGACAATTGTGTCTTCTCTAATGCAAAGGAGTGTGATGAAGGAATTTTTGCCTTTGTTTTGCTGTTGGAGGTCCAAACTGATAGAAGTTTCTTGTAGAGATATTCCACTAATTACAATCTACACTTCTTTAGGTAAAACTCCCTTGTTTTTTACCATGGTGGATGTTGTATTTCATTAGCCTATTTAGCAGTTCATTAGGCAAGACAAGGTTGAAAAAACCTCCTTGTGCTAGAAATTCAAGTTCTTTGCCTTCATAAACAGCCATTTGGAGTTTTTCTTTCAGAAAGGTCATAGGGACATTATACTCTTTATAGTTTCTACAGTAATATAGTACAAAAAGAAGCGTGATTAAATTGTTGCTTTTAATTATTTGCTTTTCTGAGGTTTTGCAAACTCTGTTATTTCAAGCTAGTAAATTTTAATATCTATTAAAAACACATTAATGCTCTATGTAATGGATTATAACTTCATATACATATTTCAGTAGTCAAACAGTTTGTGGATCCCATATCAGAAGATGAAGCTGATTCTCACACTCTGCCAGAATCTATTCTTCCTGTCTGTTCTGAATACGGTGGTGATACACTGGAGGAGTCTATGGAGCAGCTAAGAAGAGGGCTAGAAAGTGGGACTGTCCTTATTCAGTTTGAGGTAGGTAATACTCAACTCTGTAATTCTGTTAGAGTAGAACAGTAGCTGTAACCAGTGAGTAATGGAGGGGCTGTAATTATTTGCAAATCTCATTGTTCCTCTTCAATCTTATCTCAAGAGAGCAACAATTTGACTTGCCCATCAGTTTCGCACTTCACTACTTAGAATAGGGAAGAATGAGTTTTAAGTCTCAGACAAAATACCATCTGCTGAGAAAAATGTATTTAAATTAAGATGTTTCTGGCTCAAGTACCCAAAGTTCACTAAATCAGTTATTTTTTTTGTATTTGTTTAATTGATTAGAGTAGTGCAATTTTGACAGAGGTCAGTCTTGTATTTTGTTCCTTTTTAATGTTCTTCAATGTGTTAGCATAGAAAACTAGCTAATACGATTTTCATATTTTATTAAATTAATTCCTTCAGTGTTAATATAAGAAATTCCAAAGCATAATTCCTCAGCTTCTCTAATGGCAATGGAGTGCAATGTTTGTGGTTGCTTTACTCTTGTAGATTCAAGCATTTGTAGTAGCTCTGAATAAACCTTAGTTTATTATGGTTTATAAAACTGGCATTGGGTTCTGGGGTAACCCCTTCTGTCACTGAAAACTTGTAGAACAGCAATGAAATTTCTTCCTCTTTTGATATTTTTTCCTTTACTTTTTTTTAAAGCTGGAAAATGTAATGGTAACAGCTGAAGAGTTGTGGTATTGTTTATTGTATAACCACTCTTTTTATGAGGTTTCCTTTCTTTCTATAATTTCTGAGAATTAAAATTCCCCTGGTTTTAAGGAATTGTAGACAATGGTTCATAACTGCTTTCCAAAATCCACAGTACTGGATGCAATGCAGCAATTACAATGAATCTGTTGCTACTGCTATTGAAGCTGTAGCTCAAAAGTGTGAACTGACCTTTCAGTATCTTCTTAATTGGCAAATTTGTTGACTAAATGTGTACACAAATTTCCTGTAGTGAACTTCATAGGATATTTGATCCTTTATGATATTCTGATATATGATATTATGATATTCATAGGATATTTGAGCCTGTATTTTATCTTTTTTATGGCAATGTTTATAAAAGAATTTTACAGAAAAAAATGCAAAAGCTTTTTGAAACCTAATAAACTAGGGTACAGCTTAGTGGTCTTCTTGCTTTGAGTTCATTGTTTAGTGATCTTCAGAAGCAGAGGCAATGGCAGTGTCTCCTCATCAGCTTTGGTGACTCAAACTATTTATTCACTTTAGTAAAATAGTAAATAGTTAGCCAGTAGACTGTGAATAATCAAGTTTTTCCAGAATATCTTCCTCCATTTAGTCAGAATTTAAGAAGTCTGTCAATAGCAAATGACTGTTTGCCAGGCAACAGTGAAGCTCAAGAATGGTTACTTGACTTTAAATTATTCTTCTTGGTCTTTCTAAAAAAGGCAGAATTGCATCCAGGCTCTAGTAAAGTGGAACTTGACTTACAACAGATAGAAGCTTTTCCATTACATATATTATCAAGTTCTCTTCTCACATGGCTTGTTTATGTTGTATAAGTTGAAAAGTTCAGTGATCTGTGAATACAGAATTTTAAGGTCCAGCAAATCTCAGTTGAATAAATATTTTTGTGTATTGCTCTTTTTCTCTCAACCAGAAGTAGGGGATTTTAGCCTCCTATTTGTTTCATTCCATTTTATATATGGAACAATATTCAAAATCTTTATTAAACATATGAGTTCATATATAATGAACTCCGTGGTAAGTGTTCAGTGGCACATCCAGATTTAATAACTCAGTCGTAAGGTGCTTTCATGTATATTTAATACACAAAAGCTATAGTTGTATAATTACAGTTCTTGTGGGTTTGTTTGGTTTTGTTTTTGTTGTTTCCCTTGTCTACCTTTTTTTTTTGTCTTGTTTGATGTACATAGAAGCAAATATCATTAGGGTTTGAAAAGATCTTCAAGATTGTAGAATCCAACCATTAACCTCACACCAACTTCAAAATTTTGGTTATACACACATTATATATACCCCATTACTGTGTCCATTTACTCCAGATAAAGTCTGCAACATAGGGGTTGGCCCAAAAGCAAAGAAGTCACATGTTAAGAGATTGATACATTGAAGTTGTGATTTTTTTAGTTACTTGCAGGATTGAAATGGATAGGTTTATTCCAGAGACTAAAACTTTTCTGAAATTTTTGTGTTATAGTTGATTCCAGAGAGTAAGTCTGCGACTGTTTGTTTGTTCTGATGCTGTTCGCTGCTCCCTTGTTGCACCCTCAATCACTGTTGTCCCTCTGGTCTGCAGTTTTAAAAGCAAAAGGCAAACTTGCAGAGCAATGGTTTATATCAATGATGCTCACTTGCTGTTTTTGCTTTTTTCCTAGAAATTTTTCTAGCTATCCTGATGGGCTAGCAATAACAGAAATTCTTGTCATGTTAAATGCAAAAACCTCCCAAGTGAATTTTGCAGAAGGATAGGAAAAACATTAAAGAAAATATGTAATTTTTTTTCAGTCTATATATTTTTGTGTGAATGTAATTAGTGTGTGTATAGCATAATCACATCCCCCAAAATCTTGTAATTTTTCATTCTACTTTGCAGCAACTTTACAGAAAGAAACCAGGATTGGCTGTTACATGTGCAAAGGTACCTCAGAATATGGACAAGAATAGATACAAAGATGTTCTACCTTGTGAGTCTAAAGTACAGTTTCTGCCTATTTTGCTTTTTAAAACTGCTGTATTGAACTTACTGATTAAAGATTTAATTATATAATTGAAGTCATGTAATTGGTCATTTATTTTCTAAAAGGTAATTTATTCTGTTTGTATTCTGCTGTTTGTGTTTCTGCAAGTCCTCAGGGTTTTTTAAACTTAATAGAGGGGAAGTATATCTCTTAATTGCTAATTTTATTCCCTCTTTCTTGTGTGTGTGCAGATGATGCCACAAGGATAATATTGCAAGGAGATGAAGATTACATTAATGCAAATTATGTGAATGTAAGTCATACTGAGACCTGCATTTACTCACTTTCTGTATTACTAAGCAGAAAAAAAAAGGCTTTTTTAGGGAATAAGGATATTTTGTTTTAATTTGGGGAATTTTTAAATGTAAAAGATGTAAAATTTCATAACCTAAAATATAGTGTCTTTTGTGAAACAGGTGACCATCCTAATACACAGTGGGTGCTGCCATGTAGTGATACACCTTTAACCAGTCTTTAACCAGTAAAAATTGTTTTATTTTTCCATATACTTCAAATGCTGAGATTGTCTCCATAAAACTAAGCCTTTTTTTCCCTCTAAATCCACTTATGACCATAGCTATGCTATGAAGGATCCAGAAGATAAACTAGAGCCTTGATTTTCCTAATCAATCAAGTGTAGGCTGGGAGTCAGGGAAAAAAAGGAGGAAAATGTGTATATATTTCTGTCAGATACATAAGCTAAGCACCTAAATCACATAGTCAATTATTAATTTCCTGTGTTTATTATCAGGCAATAATCAGCTTTTGCTGTACCTTTGGTGAATATACCCCAACATCATTCCTTACTAAATATTAAAGAAAATTTAGAAAGCTTTGCAGTTTCAAGTTTTCAAGTACATTTTCACTATTAATCTTCTGCTCATAGTTCAGCATGAAGGACTATAGAATCTGTGCTTTACATCTGTTTTGTGCTTAACATTTGTTCTAAATTAATGGTTTAAAAGTTTTTCACATATCAAATTGTAATCTTGATTGTCTTATTACTTAGCTTTTTTTGCTTTCTTCCCTCAAAACTTACTTGAATGAAATGCAAAAGTTAAAAAAGTACTTGAGTAGTGAGAATGAACTTAACATAGGATTTTTCTTTCTCTCTGTAGATGGAAATTCCTTCTGCTGGCATTGTGAACCGGTACATTGCTACTCAGGGGCCTCTTCCACACACATGTGCACATTTCTGGCAAGTAGTCTGGGATCACAAATTATCACTGATCATCATGCTAACAACTCTCACTGAACGAGGACGGGTAAGCGCCCAGGTCCTTTGTATGCTGAAAAATGTACTGTAACTTTGAACTTTTTTCCATTGTTATGGTTAAATAACCCTAAAGGAGGCCAACTTATTCAGTTGAATTATTCTTCTGAGGGCCAGGTTTCCTGAATTACTTAGACAGGGCAGATAGTCCTCCTTTTGCTTTTTGTTATGCTGTTTTGCAAACAAGCCAGCTGTCTGATAAACAGAAATCACTGCATTCACTCTGTTGTGCTGATCAGACAGGGACTACGTGCTGTTGTTTTTCTCCCTGAGCATTGGCCTCCATGTGGCATTTTCTCTCCAAAAGATTCAGCAAATGTCTGGAAGCATTGAGTAGGTTGAGGAAACCTTGTAGTCTGCTGTAAAAAGGAGTCTGTCATTGTGGTATTTACTAGTGGTTAAAATTTAGCTTGCTTATTTTTATTTACATCTCAGGTTCCTTCCTAGAATTGCTCCGATAATTATTTTAATTATGTTTAGATAAATTCTGTCTCTCCTTGAATTTTGGAATAGCACAGTGAAAATCTGATGTGTTTTGATTTAATTTGTCCTTTGTAGTTTTAAAGATTGTTTTTAGATTAAATGGGAAGGTATTGGTTTTAAAGTTTTAGAAGCTGAAAACTCAACAGCTGGATTTTTTAAGAGGTGGAGAAGGTGGTGACTCCTGTATGCCTTCACTTTAGCCTCTGTCTGTATTTCATATGTGATCTGTCTTACATTATCAAATTTATCTGACACCCCAGTCAAAACCCAGTGTTTTTAGAAAGCAAGGGAGTGAGTATTTTAGGTCTTACACAGCATAAAGATTGAGATGTAAGGAAGTAGAGTAAAGCAGCAATCAGGTTTAACCACAGTCACATTATGTAGCTGCTCATGGAAGCAGACATTATTGAACATCACCTGATACAGAAATGCTTCCTTCATCTTTTGAGTGTATTGCTGTATTAATTTCCTTCAATTGTGGAAGACGGATCAGTAATAGTCTGGATTTCATACAGTTAGTTGGAAACTTCAAGGCAGTTGATAGCTTCTAATCATCCTGCTGATACCTTTGCACACCAGACATATCAGAGTTTTGTTTCCCTTCAGAAATTATTTAGATTTGCCCAGTTTTTGGGAGAACTTTCAGGCACAGAAGAAGAAGTATATTCTTGTCAATATCCCCATTGACAAGTGCCAGACATTTTCCTAGTCCCTGGAGGTTTTATGTTCCAGACTATCTCTTTCCAATGGTGTTAAGCTTTGTATGATAGGACTTTTTTTTTCCTCCTCAGTAATGCTTATTTTTTTTCCAAAATGAATACATTATTTTGGCTTAAATTTGAAGAGGAAAGTAGTTAAGATAAATTACTACAGTGAAACTTTCAGGCATAATGGTTATAATTTGAATTTCAAGCCTCTGAAAATTGAGCTCTATTAAAGGTAAAATTAAAAAAATTTTAACTTTCCAAAAATTCCAGCTCGTGCTACTCTATCAATTTAAAAGTTACAGACAAAAACAACTTTGAAATTTATGCAGGTTGCAGTGTCACATCAAAGTTTTAATAATTTCCACAGGTGGAGATTCCACATTCTCATAAGGCTCTTGTTTCTGTGCTTGTCCTTCTTTGGGGAATTTTTTTGCCAACATCTAGTCAGAATTTCCCTTATAGCTTCTTTACAGTTGCCTCTTGTCCTTTCGTTGTTCACTTTCAAGAAAAGTGTGGCTATGCCTCTCCTGTAATCTGCTATTAGATGGCTAAAGTTAGTTTGGCATTTAATCCCTGCACTACTTTTCTTAAGACAAAGTAAATCTATCTTTATTTTCCCACATTATGCCTTGAGAAGTCATTCTTGCAATTACAGATAAGCAGCAGACAAAGCATCATGCATCCAATTTACCTGAATATTTATTATAAATCACTAAAACAGAAGTTTATGGACAACTTAGCCTAATATGTCCTGTTATTTTTCAATTTGGATGGAAAAAAATCTAACCAGCAAACTAAAACAGATTTAGTACCACTCCTTGTATTCCCTGAACCACAACACAAGAAAGAAGGCTGGAAATGGAAGGGCTCATATACAACAGTCTTGATGTGTGCCTGATTTCCTTTACAGACCAAATGTCATCAGTATTGGCCTGATCCACCAGATGTAATGGAATATGGCTGCTTCCGTGTCAGGTGCCACTCTGAAGACTGCACAATTGCTTATGTTGTCAGAGAAATGGTCATTACAAACATTGAGGTAAATGCTCCCTGCCTTTAATCATCCCCAAACAAGTTGAATGAATACATTTGTAGATGGGTAGATAAATGTTAGAATCCCAAATGCTAAGAATACCCTTATACTAAGATAAAAGCTATGCATTTGGCAATGTATATGTGTATATCTTTGTGTATTGATATGATGCATGTCTATAAACACACACTGACATGTTCATTTTTAAAAATAGAATATGTGTGCTTTATATGGATCAACACGGTATGATTATTTCTTTAGATCTTCTTCAAAGACACACTTTTTGAAGTTCTATAATACATTATGCTGTAATGCATTATGCTATTATAATACAGGTACTGCAATAAGCATCAAAAGGAAGTTTAGTGCTTTTCTTTAAACAGTTTTGCAATCACTGACTCTTCGTAAGTACTTTGATTTATAAAGAGAGTTTTTTCCCTAAGTAACTCTGCTGTTTCAGGGATGAAATATGGGTCACTTGGTTAGTAGCACATGCAGCTAGAACAGCTAATAAAGGAGTGAAGCATAATAAAGTTGTTTTGAGAGAATATGCAGAATCTCACCAGTTCCTTTTCATTGTCTTTAGTCAGATTTTAAAAATGAAAAAAGATACATACCTCTCAATTGAGATCCATATGTATCTCAATTGAAATGTGTTCAATTTATGAAAAATACTTATATTCCGTAACTCCTAATACTTTCATGCTAATGTCTAGGGAGTTAGAAAACAAAGAGAAGGCAAAACACAGCATATTGTCTTGTGAAATCCGTGTTCAGGTCACATCTAGACTTCCCACAACCTGAATTGTAGGGGTTGAAGTTTGGTTTTTGTTTCTAAGTAGACCTGCATTTCTATGTTTTCCTTCATCTTTTTTCCAAAATTCTATGGCCACAGGTATTTTCTAAAAAGATGAAGGATTTATGCTATCATAAAATGTGTGAGAAATCACTGTATACTGTCCAAAGGCTAATTTTAAGCCAGTCTTTCAAATTTCTGTAGAGTTAATCAGCTCTTACTCTTACCAGAATTGCTAGTAGTAATAGTAAGTAGTAAGCAAGGAAAAGGCAATATCTGTTTTAAAATATAATATTTAATCCATGTTCTTACAGCATAACCAATCCATTAGTCTCATACATTTGTAACTTGACTTTCTCTCACTTGACAGTGCATCCAAATTTGCTTTAATGTGATTAAGTTTCCTTTGCAGTCATAAACATGTGAGATGTCAGATGTGAGTACTTAAAGGTTTTTCAGTTAAGGCAGTTTGTTGTACTTCTATTTCTAGATATGAGAAACCACCCAGTCAGGGAGCAGCATGATATTTGTTTCTGTATTTTGGCCAATTTCTCTGTAAGTGATAAACCTGACTAAAAAGAAGTCAGCACAGAAGAAATTAACCTCACAAAAGTAGTACTGCAGCTATATGTACCCAAAATTTTAGTTCTTTTCACTCAAATTATTTGTAACTTTTATATATCTCATAAAATGAAGAAAGGTTTAATTTCTGGCCTTTTCCAGAACAAGATCAAAAGCTATACTGTAGCACTAACTTTGGGGGTCTTTGGGGTTGGTTGAAACTTTTTATTTTCTAAAAAAAGCTTCAGTGCACTTTGGGGACCAGAACAAGCAGACCAAAGGAAAGAAATCATGTCGTGAGAGTGCAGAGTTCATCACACAGTGCACTATTTTGTAAATTGAGATACGTATTTCTTTATGATCCTGGACAAAATTGCGTAAGAGGCCTGAAACAAATTTTCATTGTTTCCTTTGAGATGAATGCCTTGCAAAGTATGATTGGCCATTAAATTTCACTGGTTTTGAACCATAAAGAACGAAATAACAAAAGTAAGTGAGAAATGTGATGGCAAGTGTGTGCAGCAGCATAATAATGTATGAACAGTTGTCCAAGAAATGACAAATGCCACTTGCCAGAGTATCTGCTCTTTAGAAACTGGGCTCCAACCCCGATTATTCAGACTCAGCTTTCAAGGTATGTTTGTGAAGCTCAGTGGCAAAGAGCTCACCTTTTCCTGCTTAGAAGATAAAAGAACCATTTCAGGGTTAATGTAGTTCTACACTGTGATTTTTTTTTGTCTCATTATTGAAGATTATGTTATAACTTCTGTGAAGAAGGACATTAACTGAAACATTGAAATGCAAAATCAATTGCTTGGTTTTAACATAAGTAGGAATTAAGGTTGACATTTCAAGTTTAAATTTCATACTTTCTATATGATTATTATGATTCTGAGTTCTGTGTGTTGATTTTCTGAAGAGGACACAAATCTTTTATTAATCAGGGAGAGTCTATCATTTAAGGTGAATGAAACAAGGAAGTTTGCCTTTTGATGTAATTATAATAAGCAAGGCTGCAAACTGCAGAAGGATGAAGATTGGATATTTTTGTGTCTGAAGGTCTTGACAGTACAGCTGTATTGCAAGTGCATTTGAAGCACTACCTGTGACAGATGTATTCTTTGTCAGGAATTTCAGCCCTAATGACAGACTCACTGGAAAAGATCGTGTGCTTCTGAGCAAAATTTAGGATGTTAGCTTAACCACAATGAAGCTGCTTCTGCAGTTAGATATCTTGAATTTGCCCAGGCCAGGTAGGGACAAGTACATAATTTTGTTGGAGTTATTTTGCTGAAGAGTTTTGCTGTAATAACAGCAAAGAAGCACAATAACAAAGAGCTGGTGATGTCTTACACCTCTGTAGTTCCTTACTAAGTAATGTGGATGAATGCCATGAAGAAGCTAAATGTTGGCCAAAGGGCTGACGATAAACTGGGCAAATTACTGAAGTGTCCCTGGAGTCTGTTGTTTGAGCTAATTTTTTTTAATCCATAATTTTTAAACTGATTTGGAGAAATACCAAATACATTAATTCCATTGAAATTAGTCCACATGAATGCAAAAAAAAATTAAATAATTTTGGAATAGCAAGGTGTACAAGGTCAAGTTAAGCAAAAATAGCAACCAAGCCATAAGCAGCTGTTGCTGTCTCACTTTCTCTAAGACTCATAAAACAGAACTAATAAAGCCAGATTTTTATGAAGAAAAATTATTCATTTATCAGTCGTTAGGATGATTGTCATTGAAAACCTCAGTGCTAAAAGAAAAAAATTGCGGATAAGATTTAAACTGAGTTGTAGAGAATAGTGGTTTGATTAATAACTTGAATATCAGAAGTTACCTCTTATTTTCCATTATCAGGTTTGTATTAAGGAGCAAGATCTGAGAGTAATAGTGTTTAAAAATAAATATTGCTAACAGAACATTTACTGTAGGGCTAGCTATAGAACCAGTAACGTTAATTCTAGCATTTTTTCATGTAGAAGTGCTAGATTTTAGTAGCTGTGATGGTCTTTTAATGTAAGTTATTTCTATGTGGGGTGTTGTTTGGCTGACATTTTCTGTATTTAAAAACTGACTTTCACTAGACTTGAAGATAATATGGTTTTAAAAAAGCCAAAAACCCTGCTAAAAATAACTTTAAAAATCTGGACTTCAACAGAGTACTGCTTTGACATTTTTCTGCAAGAGATATAAAAACTCCTACATAGAAAAAGTAATTCTAACATACACAAATATATTTACTGTGTACATTGCTAATAAAACATAATGTGTTTTAAAATACTTGTGCATTTTGGAAAGCAAGTGGAAAGCAGAATAGTCAAGTTTCAGCATTTCAAATCATCTCAGAAGAGCTCAACAGAAGAATCAAAATTGATCATGCTAAAGCACAAATATTTGGAAGGCTACACTGAGGCTTGAGGCATACCTGGAATAATTAACAAACACCTATATTGGTCTCTAAGGATGATTAGGGCACAAAACCAAAATTGAAGATGCTTACACCAAAAGCAGCAGCTATGAGGACTAAGTGCATGTTCTAGGTGTATTCTTACTCCAAGTGAGTCTTATGTAACGAAGTTTTTGTACTTAATGTCTGTGAACTATTTGACTAAATGCAGCTCACTCTATCTGAATCTGAAGTACTGATAAGTAAAAATTAAGTCAGCTCTTTCCTTTGTTCTAAGCTTGTAAAATGACTTTTTGCTTCTACTGATCACCGTCAGTGTTTCTCAGGTGTGCCACTGGCACTTATCCATGTTGTGTAGCTTTAAGTTCTTGAAGCACATGGAAAGCAACTGGATATTCAGTCTTGGATAATTTTCAAATTAATCAAGTCTTTGTTTCACCAGGATGCTGTAATTCAAACATCTCTGATTTAAGAGAATCAGCTCAAACTCTTACGTGTAATTGCTGCTTTATCTCATTTCCCTTTTGAAGAGGTTCTGATTAAGCAAGTACAGATTTTCAAAGGAGGACTTTTTAATGATATTTCCTAGACATATTTTTGTATTTTTTTTTTTAATCTGTGGCATTTCAGAAAAATGTGAATGGTAATCATTTGATCAGTGTCAACTTTTCCTACTCAGTAGAGCTGGATAGCAAAAGGCCATGCATGCTTTTTCATGCAGAAATCCTGGTCATTGTGCATCTTTTCATGACATGGGTGGTAGATCCCAATGTAATTTGTATTACAGTGAGCTTGGTCATTAATGTTAGATTATGTTGTCCATGTGGGCCTTATGCTGTACCTTTTAATTGTTGATTGCTCAGGCTTTGCTTTTAAGAAGCAAAGTATGAGCTGTGTCATTTTTCTTTTTGTCCCTGTGGGCAATTGTAAATTTCTGCAGTTGTTTTGACTGGAATAAATGTATTCCCTAAGACTCTACTTAATACATAGGGAGTACTTATTCCATCTTTTGTGTCCTACTAGCCTGTTCCCTGGCAGTGGAACATCCTCAAGTGGGAGAGGAAAACAAGCAGCTGAAGACATTTAAAACAGGTCCTATATTTCAGCAGTTGTGAGCACAAGAGAAAAGGGGAAAAACCTTTTAAAGTCACTAGCATCACAGAAACCTTCCTGTGTGGACCATTAGGGAAAGGCCAGCTTTTATAGACTAATCCTGTCATAAAGGAGAGTTTTATTTCAGAAGGGTGCCAAATGTTAAGTCTGATAATGGACATAAATTAAATGCAGGTAACAGCTTAACTATTGCAAAATGTGTGGAAGGTATAAAGGAGCATGAAGACTTGTCTCAGTTTGTAAAGATTGACATCCTCACTGCATGATGTTTCAGAGCTCATGAGCATCTTAGGTTTTTTCCTTCCCACCCTAACCATTAGTTACATCTGTAACATATCAGTTCAGCTCAATCTGAAGGCATAGATGATTGAGTGATTTCATAATCAAAATTAACAAAAAGCTAAACTGAAGGAGCTTCTGTAAAACCTCAGGGTTTTTACATATAATTCAAAAATTCAAAAAAAGAACTCTCTGTACAACAGAATCTTTTAACTAATTATATTGCTTCCATACAGAAAAGTATTCTCCTGTGGATCATACAGATGTCATTCATATATGTACAATAAACATGCGTGTATGAATGATATATATGTATATATACTGTTTTCTAACAGAAACCAGATTTGGCAAATGTTGCAGGCAACTTTATTATACCTGAATCTGTAAGAGTGCACAGACATATTTACAATAGATTGTATAGCCCTAAATCCCTTTTATATTGGTATTGTTCTCAGTAGTTCTGCTGTTCTCAGTTTCTTCCAGCCAGTTCTAAACTATTGTGCAGTACTGTTATGCTTATGTCTTAAAGCACTTTACCTCAGGTGAATCAATGATGTCAAATTATAATAGGTCAGCAGTCAATACATCAAAAAAATTAAAATGCTTAAATCACGGAAGTTAAACTTCATACCTCATTTATTTAGAAAATGTTGTGCCTTATGAATTCTTTCTAAGAATTACATGTCCATACTTCACACTGAATTTTAAAATCACAAACGTTTTCTACACCATCTACCTCTTATTGCATCTGCAGAAAACACTTGCTGTGAAAAACATTACTTGTATCTAGTAAACATTAATACAGGAGTCATAACTCTGGCCATTTTTTTTAAAACTTTACTGTATTTCAGACAGAACAACAGCACACCGTCACCCATCTCCAGTACGTAGCTTGGCCTGATCATGGCGTTCCTGATGACTCCATGGACTTCTTGGAGTTTGTGAACTGTATGAGGCCAAAGAGAGTAAAGAATGAGCCAGTTCTTGTTCACTGCAGGTATTTGTGTTTTAAAACTCTAATTATAGATCGTTGAATGAGATGAAAATGTTAAACTGTGCAATACGAGCATTTACTGCTGATGATGTAAACACTGATGTTATATCTAAAGGATGAGTTTACTTTGTCTCCCTTTCTCCTGCAACCTTTTGGTGAAATGGCTTAGTCACATAATTATCACAGATCTGATAATCTGCAATTTAGTTTGTTTTCTGATTTTCATCCTCTACACTGTTGTAATCTCATTTTGAATGGTACTGCTAAAATTCTTTTCCCTGCTGTTCAAGTGTGTGTGTGTGATAAAAGCAGTCAATTAGATCTTACCTTTTTAAAGACAAAAATATCAAACCTGTACAGTTTGAGCAGTTCAGTTGTTTAAAAATGCATCTACTTTAGGTGAGGTTTTAGTTTTATTTATATTTTAAAATATTTTCTTTTTAGTAATTACCAGAAAATATTACTGAAGTTGCTGTAAAAATAAACTTTGCACTCTCTTTGGATTTTACTAGGGTCTTCCTGTAATTTCCAAGGCTGTCCTACTATTAAGACTGTGATATGAATTTGGTGTTTTGCAAAAACCTAATTTTATAGAGTATTCTTCTGTTGTATTTCACAGTGCAGGAATCGGTCGCACTGGTGTGTTGGTCACTATGGAAACAGCCATGTGCTTAATTGAAAGGAACCAGCCTGTTTATCCACTGGATATTGTACGGAAAATGCGGGACCAGAGAGCTATGATGGTGCAAACATCAGTAAGTGATGGAGAGGAAGCATCATTTTCTGTGTATACACTGCACTTGTCAAGTTATAAAACAGGTCCACAATTTTTATAAAGGATCTAGTAGTATGAATCTTCAGTTGCCATTATATATCAAACTTTATATCAAAGATTATATATCAAATAAATTTAGCATAATTTAGCATAGCAGCCAAGGCTGCTGCTAATGAGGTATGTATTTTTCTTTTTTTAAAATATCTCTTATCTTACCATGAAAAGATAATTGATTTTGATACATTGTAAGTAGTTAGAATGCCCAAAGTCAGACTTGTACTGATCATCTCCTCCTGGTCCTTTGTCTAAATTCTCTGCTAGGCTAGAATAATTTTTTGCTTTTTATTCTGGTACAGAACACCATAGGAAGTTATTAAGTTGAAGGTAAAATCGAAGTGTTTGTGGCCTGGTTTGAAAAGTAGGAAGTAGCTTTTCAAAAGGCCACTTTAGAGTAGAAATTCTATAAGAACATATAGATGTTTTTTTTTAATTTTGCCACTGCCTAGTTGGAAAAAAACTAAGGGCAAGTTGTGTAGCACCAGTAACAGAAACATGAAAGTAGATGGCAATTTTAAGATGAAAGTGAGACAACTTGAGTTCATGAGAGCCATTTTTTGTCAGCTTTGGAAATGAGCATATTGATATTAGAGATGGATGAAGGATGAGAGTTTGTTCTTTCTTTAGGAGAGGCTGATGACTAGAATTCTGAGTGTGGGTTATATTGGAGAGCTAAATGCCCTATGAGAAATGAAAGTAAGGGGGTTTAAACACAGAAAGCCAACAATTAAATTGGGCATTTCTGTCTCATCTTATGGAAGAGGGTCGGGACTGTGTGATTGGAAGGGAGTTGCTTGAAGGGGGCCCTGCCTGTTCCTTGCTGAAGTGAAAGCTGAGCTGGTGACAAAAGTGGTCATGGCATGAAGAATACTAGCTTCAAGTTTAAGGAAGCCGAGTGTTAACTTCTGGAGTTGCACCTGTCTATACCCCTCAGGTTCTAAAATTACTTACACAAATTCAAGCTTCAACATTCTAGAAGTGGTTCTCTTCATGAGAATCAGATGTAAAAACCTGAAGTAAACTTCAGCTTGCCAGAAGACTGAATCCCTTTTGTTACAACAGAAATCAGCCAGAACTGTCCTTTCACTCCACACTTTGACATAACTGAAGAATACAGGAAATAGTAATAAATACAGCTACAGTCAGGCTCCTGGTGTGGAAAATGAATATCTAAAATAGGATTCTTTACCTTGCTTGCTGTGTCACAGAGTTTGCTGTCAGCACAATCAGGAGAGGGATGATCTGTAGCAGCAATACTGTGAAACTAAATTTGCTTGTTATTTCTGAAGAAGGCAGATACTGTTGTGAAAAGCCAGTGAGAAAACTGGCATTCTGTGCTGTAAAGGAGACACAGAAGCAAGCACTGAACTGTGAGAAAACAGAATACCAGAGAGCTGCGTGTTAATATTCTGATCTATCCTGGGTGCTCTATCCCATTCCCATCCCATTCCAGCCAGCCTCACTTCTCATATTTGAGATCCTGCTTAGGGTATCTGGGAGAAGTTGTTAGAGATTCTTCAGTTGTAATAAAGGGATTCTTCAGTTTTAATAGCCTTGCCTAGAGCATGTTCAGCTGCCCTATGGGGACTGTGTGTGCGCTCCAATTCCAAGGTGATATGATTTGCCGGGTACATCTTGTGACAGGGCATACTCAAAAAGAATGAACTGATCAGAGCTATTACCTGGTCAGTTTAGTGTCTGTTGTTAATCCTATGGAAGCTGTAGCTTCTCAAAGACCCAGGTAATTTTGTTATGTGAGCAGCAAAAAAAGCAAATCCATCATTCAACCAAAATGATGAATCTATAACAAAGTTGGTGTAACTCTATGGCCTTCCATTAAAAAAAAGAAAGATTAACCACTAAAGAGAAATTAGGTAGGTAAGCAATGCAGAATACATTAGGATGTACATAATAGAAGTAGCTACCAGCTGAGTGAGCAGTTAGAATACATACAACAGATAAGAGCAAGAAAAACAAGTAGTCAGAGATTGAGTCAGAGGAAGCAATGGTGAAGTGCTGATTCTTTTATTTGTTCAGTAACTTGATCACCCAAGTTAACAGAAGTATTGAACAGAGAGCTAAATACCACACCTGGCTTGTTCAGGCAGTAGAAATATGGAAATGACAATAACAGTGAAGAGGCAAGGTAATTAAGAAATAAGAACAAAGTGTTATTGAAGGTGGGAGTAATTGACTGAAAGGTTGAAGAAAAGCTGGGAAAATCGAGATGCAGAAAACTCATTTCCACCTTCCTGTTTTCCTTTAAGTTTTTCTGTACTTAAAAGAAAATGTGTTGTATTATGTTATGGACAAGAATAACATTCCTAACTGCTGGTATATAGAGGCAACCTAAGGTCCTTCACAGTCCAAATGTTATCTTTTAGCCCCTCCCTCTGGGAGATGGTGGGAGAATGTTTCCAGATGTTTCAGAAGAGTTGATGGGAGCTGACAATACAAGAGCAGCTGGGAGAACATGTCAAAGATGGAAAAAAGGGATATGAAAAATAGGAAGCTTTGCTTCTCTGAATATATGTCATGAAACTTTGGAGAAAAGGGTTCATTTGGGGGTTTTGACAATAGTAGTTTCACAGAAGAAGTGAGGATGCTTTGATCTTTGCAAGTTCTTTTAAATTTCAATCATCTTGTGTTCTCAGGATTGTGTTAGTCAAAAAAATTTATTCAGGCTACCTGGATTTTTAGTTCTGCACTAGTCCTATTGATAATGTGTCCTTGTATCACTTTTTAGGAAGAGGCTTACAGGCTAATTGTTTTTAACAAATAGTTACGTTACAAGGTCGTGGAAGAGCTAGTCTTTGTAATAGTATAATGCAGGAAAGAAACTCTAATTTGTGAAGACTTTGAGATCTAATTGAGATAAAAATGTTGAGTGAGACAAGAATTAATGTGGCTGCTCATCTTCAAAAATATTAATTTGAAAGGTTTTGCTCCCCTTCTGTTACAAAAGGAGATATGTGGTCTGATCAAAAACTGAAAATAAAGTGACTCCTTCTGCAGTACTGCAGGTTGTTTGGGGGAAAAAAAATAAGGGTTTCAGTTAGGTAGTCACACCTATAGATCCTATATGTCAACCTTAAATGTGCCCAGTAATATGTAACTGCAAGACTGGCAAGCTCAGAATACTCATAATAATCAGATAACTACCAAACCGCTCCCAAAATAGATGAGATATATAAAGAAGGTAAATATCAAGTTAAATTTAGTCAAAGTCATGCATAGTTTTTACAAATAATTCCTTTTCCCTGAAAATTAAGCACGTATAATTTTAGTTTGGGGAACTATATTTTCCTTGGTGTGTGATTTTTTAATGCTTGTCCTTCAAGGAAGAGTAAATGTCAGCTTTGTTTACCGTGAACACAGAAAGAGGAGTAGGATTTTCTCCTCCCATCCTTGTAGCTCCTCTCCTGTCATTGCTCAGGAAAAAAGGAAGCTGTGGATCTGTTAGTCCTATTCAATAATACTGTCTAATCAGCAGTTTAACTGAACATCCATAAATGTTTTTGTGTTTTCTTTTCTCCACAGAGTCAATACAAATTTGTTTGTGAAGCTATTCTTCGTGTTTACAAAGAAGGATTGGTTCGACCACTGGATTCCAGTTAGCACAGCAGTGAAGGATGATTTTTTTGCCTAAAATCCTACTCTTTAAGTAAAGCAAGGGCTTGTTTCTGAAAGCAACTAGAATGGACTAGAAGCCCATGAAAAGACAGATGAGCACATATGAACTGTGGCACTTTAAATTTCTCAAGAAGATTGCTAAATCATGTACAGTATAACAAAGTCACATAGATAAATATATGACAGCAATTGTGTGTAATATGCTTTATTCACATAGACAACCATAAACAATCATGGAAACCTTAACACACATCTTTTACTGCCTTAAACACCCTTTACTTTGGAAGTTACAAAGTTCCTTGTGTTTCCTTTGAAATAGCAAAAGGAAAACTCCTATTATTGAAATGGTTCATTTAAGAAGGTATTTAATATATTTGTATCATATGAAAGCTCATTGAAGGTGAATATTTGTAACTTTCTTATTGGGATACTAGATATCCATGGAACTGTAACCTTGACTAAAAGGCTGACGAAGAGCTTTAAAGGCTAATGCATAACTACTGTAAACCGAGCTGGAGAAATTTAGTATTCAGTTACCGTAAATCTATTAGTGAGTATGCCAGCTGTTATAATATGCTGCTTAGAAATCACATCTACTGTATGTGATGTGAAAATAATGCTGCAGTTAGGCATTTATGCAGGTGGTACAGTCTACATCTTCTATTGATCAATTTTAGTTGCAACTTGCCCTTTTGACAGTGACCTACTTCATACAGTTTTAGTTATTGCACCCCTTTTCTTCTGTTTCTGCTGTCCATCTCCTTTATAGTTTTCACTGCTGTTTCTATATGTGTACTGAAAACGTTTTAACTTAAAATGAGGTTTAATTCTCTGTCATGTTTGTTTCCATGTGTATTTATGAGTTCTCAGATGTAAATGTGGATTAATGTTGCACACAAGTACTAGACTTTTGACTTACTGTATATGCAAAGTAGTCTAATCCAATACTGGAAGAAAAATTACTACTGAACCCATCAAATACATTGCTGCTATTTCAAGGTGTGAAGCTTACAAGGGCACAGGTGTTGCTAGTGTTCAGATGGTGATAAAATATTGACTTGCTGCCCTCCAGCAAAGCGCTCTTATCCAGCGAAACACGACTCCCTTTTGCAAGAGTTCTCCAGATTTACTGTGTTTCTTGCTTATGCAGAAATGCAGTTAAATTCACCTGAAGATTTACATGGAAAGAAAGAATGAATTTGTACATTGATGAATAATTCACCCTAAGGTACACTGGTCTCTATTTCATTTCAGATGAGAGAATTGGACGTTCTGAACAGTATAACCACATTTGTATAATGTTAAATTATTTTGTGTGTGCTTTTTGATTAACCTGAGATAGTTATTAATTTTTTAATAGTGTTTAAAAAATATTCTAAGGGACTGTTTAAAACTCTGTTATTTAAAAAATTAGTCCTAAATAGGGTAAAATTTTTATGGGGCATATTAGCCAGATGTTTATATGTATAAAAGAGAAAATTAGATAATTTTTTTTTCAGAGAGATATATATGCACACACTTATTCAGATGTATTTTAGAATTATGGTTTGTATTATGGATATTATCATTTATAGCTGGAGTTTCATTATAGAAACTGTCACAGCTGTACAATATGCATCTCTCATGTTACTGGAAGACTATGTTTTTTTCCCTCAGGAGGTAACTAGAAAGTGCATGTAGGATGAGCTAAATTGCTGACTTGTCTTTTGTAGGCTTGATCCTTTCTCCAAGATTACAATTTTAGCTATAGCTGAAGAGGATGTCTGGTTACTGTTATTGATCAAAAGAGTTTTAATTGAGATGTGCAGAGTAGCAACATGGAAACCTTCTTGGCTTTGTTAGCTTGAATGGTGAATAGGTTTGTGCTCATCCTTACATAGTGCATTCCAAATTTCACTTCAACTGGAGTTTTCTGTAATATTTTGGATCATTGTCATCTTGCTTGATTGGGCATAGATTAAAAACCAAAAGACTGGTTCACTCTTATCTTGCTAAACTGCATCAGGTAGCTTAATCAGTCTGTGACTCCAAATGTAAAATGATAGTGGACTTGCACATATTACTTGGGAAGCTTTGTTACCTGTGTGCCTGTCTGTTAAAACATCTATTTTTTTTGGTTTTTAAGTTTTCCTCTCCCAGGTCTCAGAGTCATCCCTTGCAGTTGGCATGACTTGCACTTAATAGTTTGTCAAGAAGTGAAAAAAGGCAAGAAAATAAATTGTAAGAAAATATTTAGAGCATCTTTGTGACATCTGTGTCTTTCATGGAAGTACTCATTGTTTCTTTGTGGTCAAGGTTATTCCTATATTCCAATTGCTATTTATGTTTCTTCATGTTTAATATGTACTTACCAAAGCACTGTAAATGTATTTCTCGTATAATTCCAGTTTCAAGATACATGATATAGGCTTGACTTGGGTTAGTATGTGTGCATTTAAAGGATGACTGTCATGTTGTGACAACAAATGCTGCTCTTGTTTTGGTAAACTTGGATGGGTTTGGTAATACCATTGGGGAGCTCTTGGATTTTTTTGACTTGTTTGAAATTGTGGCCACAGAGAGAATGCTCAAAGCTATATAAATAGTAATCTCTATAAGTTTTTTGTTTGGTTTGTTTTTTTTTTAATACCTAGGAGGAAATATTAACTACACAAGTATCTTGTATATTGTGTCCATCTTTATTTCAGTCTTGCTGGGTTTTGCACATGTACCTGTAGGATCCATATGGGAGAATTGAAGGGGTTTTGTCTTCTCTCTGTAGTGTGTGATGACTTTGCACTGAATGAAGTATGCCTTAGATCTGATCTTGCAATGAAAGCATAATTATGAAAACATCTTACTGCCAGCTTTTGTTTTCACAAAAATTAAGAAATCATGAAGATTTAGATTTAAATGGTCAGTTTGGGGGGATTTTGGTGGGAGTTAAAACTCGTGAGCACACAGTTTTTAATTGTCAAGCAGTTGGCAAGTGGTAGAAGATGCTGTGAAGAAAAGATTCTGTATAACCTTCATAAGCATTTTACCCTTGATTTTTCCTGTGCTGGCATGGTCGTGAAAATAAGTATTCAAAATGTCCGGTGTGGTGGTGATGGATGAAGAGGGAGCAATGAACCCTTGATGTTTTCATCACTGTGAAATACACTAACATTTATTTCTACGGAATTAAAGAAATTTTAACTTAGTGGCTTTATATTTGATGTGGAACTAAACTGTCTATTCAGCATGTCTTCAGAAATCTCACAGAGGAACACTTCTGAGATAAAGGTGAAAGGGACAGGTCTTGCTATTTGTTAAAAATAAGAAAAACAACACCCTAAACCATGAATGCCTTTTGTGTAACCAGATGTATGAAATACAAGTCATTAAAATACAACCAAACCTTGAACAGTGGTGGTGTTTTACACAAAAAAAAAAAAAAAAGAAAAAAAAAAAGTAATCTAGGGGTTTGCTTTAAATTATCCTGTCTTTTAAGTGTTGATACTAAATTATATGCAGTCAAAATGTACCCAAAAATTCAACAATAACTCTTCATATACACTCAGTTTTTTTCCTTTTTTGGTGCCTCATATTTCCTACTCTGCAATACTTGGTTAAATATATATCTATTTTAAAAGAACTCTAGTTCTGAACTATATAATGAACTTTGCATTGGCTTTATAGTATGATACCTTTTTATAAAAAAGCTCTTCCCTATAGACAGTATTCTTATACTATCAGACTAAATGCATAAATGTTCCAAATAGATGCACATGGTTCATATTCAGTCAATCATAATTTGAACATAGTTATTTCACTGATAATGGCTTTATTTTTCTATCCTGAAATGTAGCATTTAAGTGCAAGTTTATTTGATTCTTTCAGCCTTTTCAGAAAACATGTGCTGGGAAATGTTTGTATTTTGATTAGTAACCTGCAAGCAGTCTACTTGGTTAAAAGCATTTATTAATTGAAGCTATATGGAAGGTAAAGTTTTCATAAAATATTTTGTTCAAAGGCCATGTGAATGATTAATTCATTATATAAAACAATGTTTTGATTATATGGGTTTCTTGCATTTAAGTTCTGACACTGATAGTGCTCAGCCATCTCAAATGGCTGTCTGTTTTAACTGTAGTTTACATTACCAGTTTAAATATACCAGTCTAATGCAATATGATTGAGTTTTAGAGTACTTAACACTGTATAAGCTTCAAACAGTAGCATCTGCAATCACTGAAGCCTGTCATTCTAAAGAAAAAGGAAGTTTCTCCGAATCAAAAGAAGAAGTACCACCTAATATCAATGGATTTAACCATTTTTCAGCTTAGAGTAACTCTGTGACAGTAGCATTTGTACCACTCATATAAAGAGCAAATGTTGAGGATCAGTAATGTTATGGGAAAAAACAAATTGTATGGACTATAAGAGACCAGGAAATATTGTTGGCCTTTTTTTTTTTTTTCTTTTTTTTAAAGAAAATTCATCTCAAGAGGGGGCATTTTCTTGCAGACTGCTTGACTAAGAGTTGTCTTAGTTTGTGCTTTATTTTGAGTTTAGATGCAGGTTAACCTTTAATTAAAGTTGTATTTAAAATATTAAAGTGTTTATTTTAATAGACATTGGTGAAACACTTCCGTTTACTGTTAACTGTTTAACTTCTGTTTACTTGACTTACCTGATTTTGTTTCTTGGAAATGTCATTGGTTTGCCTTATAAAATTACTTTGAGGTTTTCTCCAAGTGTGAAACTGGCTTTGTCTCAGACAGGCAAAATTACTATTGCTTAAGAAAGGAGGTTTTTCTTTCACCTGCTGAAGGGGCAGCATGGTGTTCAGACCAGTCTCAAACTGATCTCTTTTCTAAACAGTGCTGCTAGCAGTGGTAGAAATCATAAAGATATATGGAAAAGCATGTAAGAAATGTTTTCCTTGGGACAGATAAGACCTGGATTTAACTTAAATATAAAAAGAAAAAAATTAAACATTGTGAACATGATAATGTTTTTAACAGATAAAGTATAAGTGGAAAAGATATTATTTTTTTACTCATTTTCCTTTAAAACACTTCTGTGAGTGATAGAGAGCCATACTATTAGCCGTGGGATGTAATTTTTGTCAAAACCACCTAGAAAATAATTTTAAGTGGAACATTTTCCTCGTCTACTGGTTTGTGCTCTTAAGTAACATTAAAAAAAAACCTCTTAAATATTTTCCTCTTAGAAACTATATTGTCTGTTTTCATTTGATGTCTTTTCCTGAGACATAAATGAAA